TATCCTCCAGTTAATGCCCTTGTCCCATCACACACCCTCTCACTCCTGTAGTGAATCATACTCCTTCTGCACACTCACTGAGTATCGTTGTTACACAACAGGCATATACATCCTGCCTGTAACTTGTTCCAATAATTAAGATTTCCCATGGTCCAGCTCATAACCTACAGGCCTGATTTAAGCCCTGGGAAGCCTGTGTTTGTCCTGCCATGGTACCCTGGAGGAGCTATTCAGATGCTCATGGTACCCTAAAAATCCAAGTCCTTGTATCTAAAGCCAGGTCCTGACCATCTTTGCTGAGCTCTCAATTCAGCATGTCCCCTAACATGAAAATACATCCCCCAAATAACTGCATACTTCCTGGTTCAGTTTTCCTTCCCTTCATCACCTACTCTGAGACAAATAGCTGATTATTCACATGAAGGCAGTGAGCCCAAATTGTCACAAATATCTGAACTTAGAATTAATTTCTATGGTATAAACTAATCTCATATAAATTACAGCCATGAGAGTATCTGTAGATCTGCTTTAATCACACCTGCAGCACTGTTGTTTTTTCCCCATGTGCTCTATACCAGAACAGCTCTTACTGATCTATCTGGACGCATTGCTGACTGAATCTGATATGTGTGAAAGCAACACGAATCCTTGAACTTGTTCTGCCTGCTCTGCTGTCACACTAGAATCTGGTTAATGCATGGTCATTGCTCTATGGTGTCTACATGCTTGATGGATTGACTTCTGTAAGAAATGAGAAAGGACTGAAAATATGCAGGATGTGAAAGGCAGTGTGGATTAGTGGGTAGAGCACAGAGTAGGCAATTAGCAGACAGGTTCCCCACTCCTGGTTTGTTTGGAGTTGTTGTGAGAACTGGGGCCAGTGAATCATGGGCTGGTTGATCTAATTCTCTATGACTCTCCATGACTTCATTAGTCATTGGTGTCTGAAACTCTGCTCTGGAGCCTGTCTAAAGGAGTGCTCCAGGGTTGGCTTAACTGTTTCTATTCTGTTTAGTTTGAAATGGACCCAATCTTCTCGCTTTTTCCATCTTGGGGAATTTTTTCTTTTAGGTACCTACCCATGAAGATTTCTGTGCAGCACATGGTACAGTGGAAACCCTTTAGTACGAACAATAAACTACCTGAACTTACTGGTGTAGATACAATGAAAAAGATGAAGATCAAAACAAGAACAAAAGCATCATGGAATATTAAAAATAAAATCAAGAATTTAGAGGGGTCACAATCATGAAAAATAAGAGAATGAGCAAGCAAAAAGGCTGCATAGCTGTTTAAGAAAAAAAGGTTTCATTTTTGCTGAAAGATTTCAGTCAGTTCCCATAGCACATGCTCACTAATTGCTACAGGGGGTTAGCAACTCAGACCTATTTTGCAAAGGTGTTGTCAGGTTTAATTTGTGAACCTTTGAAAAGTGCTCTGAGTTTTTCAGATGAAAGACACTGCAGATGCCAAACGTGGGTGTATACTCTGAGTCAGAGGCATAGACATAGGCATATTGTGTGATCGGCTTGACGCAGTGCACTAGATAGGAGACAGTTGTCCTCTGCAGGAAATGTAGGGATACCTGGTGCAAAAATCATGGATGATGCTTACCCATGTGTGAACTCATGCTATAGAAATCAGGAGCCACCCTCTGGGAAGTGCAAAGATAAAGCCTGCAATAGAGACATCCAGTCTGTACTTTACTTAGGCTTCTAAATTGCCTGAAACACATGTGCATGCAGAAGTATTCTAAATATGGTTGGGTACAGAAGCACAAATTGTCTAACAAACTGCTCTTTAACTCCAGTAGTCTTCCTGTGATTCCCAGGGAGAATTAGGCACCACTGGCAGCGGTTATGAGCACCAGTAAGACCATGTCAAATTTCAGACAGGTATGAACAGTAGATTTCCTGGGAGAGGCCAGAAATAACAAGAGATAAGTGGGCCCTATCTGCAAGCAATTTTTTGGCATGAAAAAGACATGATGAAGTGTGATGAGTCAAAGAGAGATAATGGGGAAAGGAGTAGGCTTGGCCTTTGGCTACGGAGCAAAGCCATAGTCCCCGGATGGATGGCAGCAGAGGTGATGCATTTAGCTCTCGCTGGTCACACGTGGGCCTGCCATGGTTTCACAGACATCTGCAAGCAGGACATGTGCAAAGCGCTAATGCCAGGCGTGTGGGATGCTGCCAGAGTGAGCTGAGGTTGAAAGGGGACCAGTGAAAGTAGCATTATGCAGAAGTAACTGGCAATGGCAGGGAATGTTCCTTATGCACACGAGTGACATCCATCCTTCCTTTCCGCAGAATTGAGGGAGGTTCAGTGCAGATGACTGGCAAACTGATTCTTCTTCGAGAAATCCCATTTGCACTTGGGTCCATGAGTCTGTATGTGTGTGTATGCGCATGACCTCCCTCTTTCTGTCTGACACAGAGCATTTAAACTGAGGATTCTCCAAAATTAAGCAGCAAGGACAGATACCACCCAAAGTACTCAACAGCCAAAGCAGAACTTGCAGCTTTATGGAAGATACCAACTATCATAAGGGCTGACAACAGCCCATCTGAGTCTGATTGGGGTCGCATTAGATGATAGACATTACATGTCTTACGTCTTGAGTATGGCCATACTTCAACAGTACTGCAACAAACAGAGGAGCTATAGCCATAGCTAGCATCAGGGCAGGTCAGGTAAAGCACAGTCTTAACCTGACTTATTGGAGGATTCCAGCCTTGTATGTGCCTCTGTGTGGACAGAAGAATCAATAATAAACGTCCCCCTGAGCCCAGTTACTCCTAAGTCTACCAGGAATAACTGGATTAAACTCATTTACTCTGGATTTCCATCAGTAAAACCAAGATGAAAACAATCAGTCCTTAATCTTCTGACTGCCTTACCTACTCCCAAATCTTAACAAAGTGTCAGGAAAACAAGAAAAAACAAGGCCGCTTTCTTCCAAGTTAGACTTCTTCACATAGATGTGTTTTGTTTCTTAAGCATTAATGCTAGCTTGGAAACGCTCTGCTGAGTCTTTTCTGTACACGTGAGAACAAGTGCCTCCACCCTCCAGTATTTTTAATTACTTGGAAATCTATAGGACTGTTGATGTTATAAAGATCAGCTCAGCCCAGGAAGCCAGCGGAAAGAAATACATATATACCAGCCAATCTCCTTCTTTTATGAAACTTGTTTTTAAAAAATAGCATTACCGTTTCCTATGCCAGAGGATGACTTATGACTCAGGAAAGACTATGATCCTATTAATAAAAAAACTGTCCATTAGAAATTACTGCAAAAAGCGCAGCCCTTCCCAACAACTGTTATTCAAAAAAATACCGTATACTGAATCATTTCTCATATATATATATAGAGTGATCCATAATGACATACAGGCAGTAAAAGAGGCTGGACCCATGAGCCAAGGGTCCCAACTACATTTCAGTTGAAAAGAAAAAAAATTTCTCTTTCCTTTTCTCTGATTTCACACAGACAAAGCCCTTAGATGCCGTATCTACAAGACAGGCGCTTGCTGGCTATCTCATTCTCATATCATATCCAAAATGTATGCTGTTCCTGTCTTGGGCTGCACCTCTGTTTTCTCTACACCTCAGAAAAGAGCTGAGCTGCAAAATACAGACCTGGATTTTTTCCTCCACTACTTAGGACACTTCCAACCAAGGTTTTGTTATGGATTTCTAATGAGAAATTATTACAGGCTAAAAATCACATTCTCCAGCAACACCACCATTGCATTCTGCAAAAATTAAATTAAACGCAAATATTAGGCATGGTTAATTTACACCCTGTGCATTAATCTCAGAGCCATCTCACTGAAATTCTATGCTAAATTGATAATATAAGTGGAAGATCAGCCTCCTCCTTTTGAAGTTGATGGAATTCACCAGTGCTTATGAAGAGCCGTTTCCTTCTGAAATCTGTGATTCCAACAAATCAAACATTTCCTAGGAATACAGCTAGTGGAGACAGATCTGTTTTTAAATCTCTTTCTCAGTTCTTGTTTCTTGCAAGAAATATTTTGGCCATCTAGCTGCGAAGTATTTCGTCTTCCAGGTATCTTACAGGTATGTCTCTCAGTTCAGTGGACATTTATGGGAAGAGCTACATAAGACAAACCTGAACCCTTATTCTCAGTGAGAGCATGCAATGAAATAGACAAAGGGGGTTTTATTCTACTGGTCACATTAGTGGAGATCGCAAGGCCTGTAGGAAAAACAGGACTAGCCAATTTTTACTTCAGGTCAGCTGTGCTCTGCTACATGGTTGGGCTATTTCCAAGTCTATATGGATGAACATTGCATAAACCACCACGAAAATCAAAATAAAGATAATAGGATCTTTTAAACCCAGTATTATCCATATGTTTCCCCTCCCTGTCCTACTGAATACAGTAAGCCCTCAGGGGAACCCAGTTTGAGAATGCTTTATTCTAGGCGTTCATTTTAATTACAACCATAATTATTTTTGTGCATGTGTATGACCCAGTTAACAAACCCATCTTCAGCATCTCATGGTCTCTCCAACCCTGCCCATTTCTGCAAGGAGGTAACCTCAGCTCCTGGCAACAACGAGCAAAATTATTTTTGAAACAAGCGGTCAAACTGGTTGCTACATCTTAATGAAAATTATTTTTTTAAAAAAACATTTCCATGTATATAAACAGCCCTTCCTCCCAAACCTGGTTAGACAAGAATGTTCCTGGGTGTGGACTGCCTTGTATAATTAACTGCACAGCTGTAGCTTCTGATCCCTGGTAACATCTATTTCTTTCTTTCTCCCTGCATCTACCTAGCACAATCCAGGTGTTCTCCTCCTCCTTGCAGGAGCTCCAGGTGCGTCACTTGGGCAGAAACCTTCCTACATTGCACCGTCATTCCTTGACGAGACAACGACCAGGCAGAAATACCAGCTTTGTAGGAAGTTAAGACAGGAACTGAAGGAAAGACTGAGCAGTGAAGCCAATTCACCCTGCTTAGACGATGGAAACGGGGAGTGCAGCAAGGACAAATGGTACCACTGGGAAGCCAGAAGATGTGAAGAGTTCATCTGCCCCCAAAAAAGAAGAAGAAGCAAAGAAAACCACAAACCCTGGTGGAGGTGAGAAGGAACCTATGAAGGGCACTGGCGGTGCTGCTTTGGAGACAGGGCAAATCAAGAGCTCCCTCTTCTCTGGGAGTGACTGGAAGAGGCCCATCATTCAGTTTGTGGAGTCGTCCGATGAGAAGAGATCGACCTACTTCAGCATGGATTCAGCAGATTCAAAGAAGATGCAATATGCCGGTGGACAGATTGGAGACATGAGGAGACCACCTCTCTCCTTTGCAGAGAAAGGCGATCTCAGGAAGTCCCTCTTCTCCTTGGATTCCAAAAAGAGCTTCCTGCCTAGTGAAGGGGAAGCGAGGAAGTCGTTGTTCTCTGGGGGGCAGATGGGGGACCTGAAGAAAACTCCCCTGTCTCTGGTGGAGACAGGAGACCTGAGACGATCCACCTTCAACAAGCCTGACAGAGCCGGTGGGTCACGGCCCAGGGTGAAGCTGGAGGATGTTCTGTGTGATTCCTGCATCGATAACAAGCAAAAGGCTGTGAAGTCCTGCTTGGTGTGCCAGGCTTCTTTCTGCGAGCTGCACCTCAAGCCCCATCTGGAGGGGGCAGCTTTCCGGGACCACCAGCTCCTGGACCCCATCAAGGACTTTGAAGCAAGAAAATGCCCTGTGCACGGGAAGACCATGGAGCTGTTCTGTCAGACAGACCAGATGTGCATCTGCTACCTCTGCATGTTCCAGGAGCACAAAAACCACAGCACAGTGACAGTGGAGATCGAGAAAGCAGGAAAAGAGGTAACACTCTTCTTATTGTACATTCTCAGTCTTTCAATAATTACACCACAGCTTTTGCTCTCCAGCCTGCAGTCTCTCCACATATCATGTCTGCAATGTAATTCTGGGATGCAGGAGTGGTGGATGAGAAGCATTTAGTGGAGAACTGATGTTGCCTGGGTTCAGCTGCAATGGGATTGTCGTTCTCATAATGGCTGGTTACAGCAGCATAGCACTAGTCTTGTATAGCAGACTAGGGTGGGGAAGAGGTGTGGAGAGCCTGGTTTCACCACTGACTTTCAGCAGAAGCTGAATCAAAGCCCTACACTCTAAGTTTTAAAAGACCTGTCTCAAGTTTCGACAGTGTTTGTGTAGTGTTATCCACAGCCAGAAAGGTGGGGCATTGCTCAAGTACAGGACCTCCAGAATACAGTTACTCAGATCAGTAGCTGCTCAACTTATTAGCGGCTGCTAGGTTACTATTGAAAATTGCCATCTCAGCTACTTAGAGTGAGATTACAGCTTTTTGTTTTTCTTTTCTGTTATGGATATGATAGTGTCAGGCCCCACCTATAGGAAGAGTTTCTTGAAGCTCAGATGAAAAAGCAATCCTGGTGCAAGGAGAAAACATTATTTCCCCAGAAGCACAAATACAATAGATTCAGAGGATGGACATCTAAGGAGATGAGTGTCATGTGAAACAGTGCTTACTCTAATGAAGAGTCTTCCACCTTTGTTTGCTTAAAGGCTCATGCTGTTTGCTTTCTGGGTGGATGTATGATTATTCCACTAGCTCTAGTCAAGATCAGGGTCTCACTGTGTTTGGTGCTATACATCCCTATATTAAAAGAATGTACTGGCCTAGAGACCTTCTGATCTAAGCAGACAAGACAGGAGAGATTACAGATAGGAGACCTGTGAACGGGTAGTGTAAAACAATTTGCCTAGAGTCACACAGACAGTCCATGGCAGAAACTGTAACGAGACTAAAATCTGCTAAATCCCAGTCTTAAGCAAGCGCAAGCCAGTGCTCTGATGTGGTGAACATACAAATACAAGTACCCGCTGCTAGAAATTCTTGAGTTACCCTTAACTTGGAAGAACAGTTTAACTCCTCCTGAGGTGCTAGGAAGATTTACCTCATAAGGCTGAAAGAGCATCTTATCTAGAGCTTATCTCTGTCTTACTGTACAAATTTTTGGTCTTTTCTTGTGAAGTCGTCTCCAACTTGCAGCCTTGCTGAAACCAGACAAGGTTTCTTCCATGTCTCAGACAGTCTTTCTTAAAGAAATTCCTACAGGGCTTGCTAGCCTGTTGTTTGTTCTTGTGTTTTTGATGTCAGCTCTGAACACGGAATATGCTTAGCTCTTGTAATGCTTTGTCTAGTATCTGCCAGGTTGTCCGATTCCTCTTAGCTGTTTCAACTGAAAAGAGGTTAACAGCTGCTCCCTGAGAAACCAAAGCTGGCCAGAGCCTTCTTCCTGTGGTTGGGTGGACCTAGAAAACCTTGCTTTTTGAAGAGGCAGCCATAGCTGGGCAGAGAAGACTTTACCTAAGATTTAAATTACTTTTAATTTCTTTCTTAGAGTCCTTGTGCCGCTCGTTAGCTCCATGCTTTAGTTCCTGTCCTGTGCTGTTTCTGCTGCTGCTAATCCTAAAGAATTTAGGGCTTTATCAATATGAATCATACACATGGGCAAGTTTCTCCTGACAATGAGTTTTGATCATGTTGTAACTTGAGTGAGTTTTCACTCAGACAAAAACAATTAACAGGATAGCTGTTGCTTACAAATGTTTATTCTTAGCTCTGATTTATTCACTGTTGGTGGAGCCTTAGCAAGAACCACAACGAGGAATGAACATTTCCAAGCCCCTTGCGTGCACCACCTATTCTTTTCAAGTCTTGCAAATCAGCCAAGCTGGAATATGACCACAAATTGGAAGAATGGCAAAGAGTTTTGCAAATTGCAAAGAGCTGCTGGTGCTGCTGGGCTTTGTGGAAAGAATAAGTAAAAAATCCATATCAACTCAACCCATTCCTGCCCCATTTTCATGGCTTGGCATCCAAGCAGCACCAGGGAAGTTTTACTCCCTCTAAATTTGCTAACTATGTCACTGGACTGGTGACCAGAATACAGCTGTATCCAGACAGACTGTTTCAGAGTGTTGGTTGTCAAGGAACAATTGGTTTATCTACAGGGATTTCCCCGTCCCTGGCTACACTGCAACTCCAAACCTGGAGAGGATTCCAGCAGAACTGGGGGGGGTGGGGGTGGTTTGTATGCTGTGATGCACTTCAGCCTGACCGTCAGTCTGGGTGCTCAGCAATTTGGTGGCACAAAACTGTCACATAACAAGGTGTAATGTGCTTATTTTAGGTACATCTATTCCTTTCATAATGCAAAATTAATGCAGGCTACAGTCTCTTTCAAGAGTTTATTTTTGCAATAGGCCCGTAGGGAAGAGAGGCTCTATCCTTCAGTGTTGGAAAAGCAAGGGGCAGTTTAAGATCATTCTGTAGAATTAAGTAACTCTGCTTGCTCCACAATGCAGACAGAGACAGTACAGCTTAAGAGAAAAGGAATGCAAACAAGCCAGTATACAGGCACATACTGGTTAGAGCATTTAAGCAAGCAGTGGAAAGCCTGATACGTCTCTGTCTGTAGAAGACAGGAAGAACACAGCAGCGTCTTCTACTTTTCAGGAGCCTGGGGCGAGCGTCATCCCCCTTCCTGGTGTGCTGCTGAGCAATCAGTGCAAGACACAGGGGGTCAGACAGAGACAACTTGGCAGGGAAGAGAGACATTTTTTCTGAGTTTGCACATAGTCGTAGTTGTGTATTTTACTCAGCAAACCTTTAATGCCTTCCCCAGATCCACCGTGCATTAGTTTCCTGCTACAGATTTAAAAGAAAAGTAACACCCCCACCAGAATCAGTACAACAAACAACCAAGAGAAAGTCTGTGAGGCTGGATAATAACCACACACAGTTGAAAAGTGAGAATTGTCAACAGCAGCTGGTACGCTCCAATAAAATCCTCTGGCCAGCTTGATTTATCAGCAGAACTAGAGCCCCCCTTTCAGACAGAATCCTTCATTTTGAAAGGGGATCCTTCATTCAAAACCTGCTTTACAGAACTATTCTCAAAATGAGACAACTTCATGTATGCCTGCCAGTCACAGAGCTGTAAATAACCTGGCGTTACCATACAGCACCAACCTTAGTACTCAGCATGTCAGGTCAGTTCTAGTGAAAAACACTTTGATTTTTTTTCTTTAATTCTTTACTCTTAAAGAAAAGTTTGTGTTGTATAGCAGGTTTAAAGAGGCAGCAAAGAACTGCCATGCAGAAACGAGAGCTGGGTGTTCCTCATTTCAACAAAGTGACTTTTTTGAAAGGGGAGACTTCACAGAGTCTGAACTAGGCTTTGAAGTCAACCATCCACAGAGATGGATCCAGAGGGATTTCCATGTGAACCCTCCCTGCATTGCTTTCACTGCCTGAATAGAGAGAAAACAAGAGTGTATCAATGTACCAGTGGAAGGATTTTGGCCCTTCCCACTGATGCAAGGTTATGGCACAATGTGGCTGTGAGACCTTATCTACACTAGCTGTGGTGGCTCTGCAGACACAGCTTATAATAGATGCTCTTCCCGCAGAGATGGTACAGTTACCTGCGGGATGTTCTTCCTAGCTGGAAGGCTGGGGAATCTGACTTGCTGCAAACTGTGATTTAGTGGGTTTGCCTGTTTGCCTGCATTCTGCATTAATGCCTCTACAGTCAGGGCAGAACCCAAGGAAAATCCACCAGTTTGCAGGTAAGGAATTCTCTTCAAACTGCGCAGAGAGCCTTTTCTGGTCTCAGCACATGCAGTGACTAGTGGCTTTTTTTCAGGATGCTCACAGAGTCTCCAGAAGCTGTAGCCACTGAAACCCACCTCTGCTTAACAAAAGTTTGGACAGAAAAATGTAGTGGCAGAACCAGCAGAAATAAGGTCTTAATTTGCTGATTTCTCAGACATGTCATTTCCAATACATGCCCTGTACTGCAACAACTAGTTTAAACACTTCTTCTTTAGCTTCATTATTGCATTTGGTCGTTGCTGTCAGGTAATTAGCATAGTTCTACCTGGCTGGTGACACAGGGGTGTTCCCCAATTCAGGGACTTGGTTCCCAGAGCATTAAGACATGATGATGCTTGTATTGCTGCCTTGCAAAAATGAGTCGCATCATGATGCAAGACTCAGTCTCACACCTCTAGTCCTTTACAGCACAAGGGCTGGGTTCTGTTGTGGATGTTTAAGTGTACACTCTGAACTTTCACTTAGGCCTCTTAACTGTCCTAATTAACCTAGACTCTAATAGGGGATCCTCTCCTAGCTCAAAGACTCTCAGTGCCAGCATTTCTCAACTTGGTATAGTCAAACTGAATGGTCTAAACCTGTATTTCCTAGATCATCTTCACTGTTATTGTTCTTTCTGCACTATAGGCACTCCCCCCACAATGGGTGGAGCTGCTATATTATCTTTCACTAGGACCTTCTGAACTCCAAGTCTCACCTAATGGATTTGCTCTGGGTGGTCCATCACATAAGGGGATCAGGAATTGTTGACCCTTGAAAATCTGAGAAATATGAAGAAAGCTAGGACAGAAGTTTCATCATAGGGAATGAAGCTGAGATGTTGACTGTCCCTAGTACCTGTAACCACCAGACTGTAAATAAAACAGGATATATGTGCACAGCTAAAGCAATCTTCCAGCAGCTCCACACCGAATGGGGCCTTAAAATCATCATGAAACCACCTTTGCCGAACCCCTTATGTTGTGGTCTATCTCCAGAGCATCCCTACTGAATCCTCCTCCTTGTGCACATGTCAACACTTCTTGTACTATCCCATAGTCTGCCTGGACCTCTTTTTAACATTTTTTCCTATGGTAAGACTAGTTTCAGTGTTTGTACTATCATGCAATAAAACACCTCCCTTCACGTCCGTTTCCTTTGCTGGTGTCTGTACTAGTGTTTCATTTTGCCCTCAGTATGGGCATTTTAACCCAAGACGAACCTGGATGACTCTGGTATTTGCATTCCAGCTATTGGAACTATCTCTGTAATTTCCATTTGCAAATCATAATTCTCACTGTAAATTGTAGTGTGGGTCTGCTCTTAAATAGTTGTTACATCCCATCCCAGAGGCACCCAAACTACCTTTCTGGGTGAAGGGATATTATAACTGCAAAAAGCTGTCAAGAGTTAGCTATCACTTTTGAGCAGGTAATAGTTTGCAAAATTGCTTTGAGACCCATTTTAATTAAAAAGTACTATAAAAGTATAATATTGTTAACATGACCTTCCAGCCATCACCTGAATTTTTTTCCTGTTACCTTTCTTTTCAAACTCCTTGTGTTTGGGAGTGTCTGCATGGCTGTGGAAGGTCTGCTCTTCTCAAAAAAATCCCTCCAGTCCCTCTCTGTATGATTTCACTCCCATTTGTGTCATAAGAATGTCCTGATGTTCAGGGATGAGGGAGGGAAACAAGATCTCACATTGCTCAGGAGATGCACTTCTTTCTTTACTCACAATTAATGCAAATTGTATGTAGCTCTGTGGCTCAAGGAAACAACCTGCATTATAGTGTAATTTCTCACATTATTTACTGCAGTGGGATGGATACCTGGATCTAAAATGCTTTTGTCTCATTGCATTTCTCTGCTGTGCAAACATGGTTGTACACCTTTGTGTCTTGATGAATAGCGCATCTTGCAGTACACAAAAGAATGGAAAAAAGCATGCATTCCTCCACATCACTGTCTTCAAACATGAAAACTATAGGATCAAGCTCATGCCTTTACTCTCTTGATCAGTAGTAGAGCAAATTTTATCTTTACACCCATACGGTTCCCTGATGATCCCATACCGCAAAACCCTTCCATGTCCGCTCTGAACCCCTGAAGAATACAATTTCATGACCCCATTCAGTTAACTACTTCAGGATGTCAGGGTGTATGGATAATATTTACAGGGCCAGTGCTCTCCTAACTCTCAGCAAACAAGGACAATTACAACTACAATGTGAGGATGCAGCTCTTCTTACACCGAGATACCTTTGAGTACATTTACCTTTTTTGTTCCCCTTTTCTTCTGTTTTATAAGGCAATAAAACAACTGTCAAATTGTTTTCCCTCTATAAATAGAGAATTTCTAAATTGGAACAGCTAGTGTCAATGGCTCTCAAAGGCAGCTGTGCTTGATTCAAGCTCAAGAGCATGTTCAGACACTACGGTGACTGGCACCAAGACAAGAGCCCTGATGGACTGATTTCCTTGGTCTGAGCTGGTTGACTGTTGCCTGCTCTTCATCGTGTGATGGTGTTTTCTATTCTTTGAAAGGGCAATTGAAAACTTTTAAACTCTCACCCTGAGGGCAACTATGATCACAAGAGAAGACCCAGGTTTTGTATTACATTCTCGGATGGGTAGCAACACAGTGGGAACTACAGCTTGTGTTTTAACAGCAGGGAGATCTCACTGTGTTGGTTGCTGCAGGATTGGATTTATTCATGCCTCATCCCCCACTGGCCTAACTATTGGCCTAAATGTGAATGCTTTTAGGTAATACAACCATTTGCCAAAGGATCCCACATGAACAGCGGGTTTTCTGAACTTTTCTAACGCGACATAGCTCAGTTGTGGAGTACAGGTAATTTCTGCCAACTGTGTAATTCCTAAACGGCTGTGGGGAAAAGTGTCCCACAGCCAGATTGCCTGTAGTTACAGTTGTGCTGTGACCAACCTGTACACACATGAAACGTAGAAAGACCTTAACATGCATAAACAAAGGCTTTGTCATGATCTGTTGGGCAGGGATGTGGTGAATATGAACGACCGAAGGAGGGTTTGCCCAGAGTTAACAGCGCAAGGCAGTACTAAACAGCCAGCTCCTGGTCTGATCCAGAGACACAGCATGCACACCAACTGGCATGTTATACCAGTGCATGGCTGCCCAGCCCTCGTTGAGCTCCAGTTCTATGAACTGCCTTGCATGCAATTGTCTGGTCTGAGCTTCTCTGGGAAGCCAGTGCAAAATGAAATGCAAATGAACCCCAGTGAAGTTGCTGATCTAAGCCAAGCATGGTTGACTACATCTCCTCCTTCCTCCTTTTGTGTTTTTTATTTTTTCCATGCATTCCCCAGCTTCATCATAACATGAAAGCTCTCAATTCAGAGCAAATTAATCCACAATCCTGTCTAAACAGAATTCCTGCCGGAGGCATCATCCTCTTGTTGCAACACTCGTTGAACGTCATTCCATAATTACATGAAAACTGTTATTGCTGCAGTGGCACACCCTGGGATGGGCCCTTCACTGCATACACAGCTGAATTTTGAAACAGGCCTCTTCCCCCTCCAGCTAATGACTCTAATGTGATTAAAAGCGGCACCATGACGGTAGCCTAGTAGGTGGGTGCTTCTGCTGCTGCCTTTGCTGAGGGAGCTGAATCTCTTGACCCAGCCAGAAGCTCTGGGATTTTGTCCAGTGTCAGCACATGATCTCCATTTCAAGCAGTGCCAGGAACCTGTACCTCCCAGCTATTACTGTTCAGGGCCAAATGCATAAGTGGAAGCACAGTGTCTCTGAAGTAGGCCACCCTCAGACCCAGTTCATGAGACTCCTCTCTTCTCACAGGCTGAGCTTTCACTGCAGAAAGAGCAACTGCAGCTGAAGATCATTGAGGTAGAAGATGAAATGGATAAGTGGCAGAAGGAGAGGGACCGTATCAAGGTGTGTATGGGATATTCTTTTAAGATCACTTCTCTGTTTCTCCTGCACTTGTCACTTTCCTTTCTTTTCCATTCTCTCATCCCTCTCCTCCTTTCCTCAATTTCTCTGACATACCCAGCTCTTACTCACTCCACTCCTTACCCAGTCTTCATACCATCACTCTCCACAACTCAGACACGCCAAATCTTGGAAACAACAACTCCTACTGAAGTCATCTTGCAACATACCCTGCAGGAGATCAAGAAGAGGCAGCCCAACTTTGTTACAAAATGATCCAAGGTACCTCCCTGCTTTGGATCCGTTACAGTTCTTCAATCACAAGTAGCAAGGCTGATTCAGAAACAAAGGTGTGCTGCCTTTTTTCCTGCTAGACCATACACAAAAATGAACTCCAGAAGGGCTCTAGATTGCCCAAACAGAGATAAGGCAACAGTGACAGATGCAGTTACATCAGCAAACATCTTGTTTATAATGGAACAACTTATTTGCATACTGATATAGGGCTCCTTTTAATACTTTCACCACTCTAAGGGTCAGAATGTAGTAATGGTGGTGGGTTTTGTGTTTTTTTTTCATTTATACCCTAACTGAATAAGGCAGTGAAAACACTATTCAGAGACAGCCCAGAAAATTTGCATAATATTAATAGGCAAAGCCCTTTTATGTGGTACACCCACACTGGCTTGCCAGTTCTGCTTTTTGTCTGCTTTACTACCATTATTATTATTATTGGAAATCTGAGCTAGAAATTTTAACTCTGAATATAGTTACATCCACAGTCCTTCCAAGGAATATTTCAGAAGGACCTAGAGGTCAGGTTTGTAAAAAGTGTTTCAGCAGCTTTCATCCTTTGAAATGGTGGGAATTTGGTCCTCAAATTCTTGAGAAGCCAGAACCATGATTTAGAAAGCTAAACAGTGTTTTCAAATACCACCTAAGAGTGTAGTTCATGAATTGAAATAAAAGATATGCTCTTATAATCGGGAAGACAGCATGCCCTGTAGGTTACACACACACAACTATTGCAAGGACAAATATTACTGCTCTTGGCACAACTTTTCTGGTGCTAAGGCTAATGTACTTAGAGTCTCCATAGTCACAGTCTAAATGCTGAAAATGCTTAGACATATCGCTGTCTGTATCCCTCTATTAGCAAGTGAATTCCTAAGAAGTTTAATGTTTTACTTTTCCTGCGTCTTTCCTGCTGCTTCCCCTCTTTGCCCCTTCTCTCCGCAGAACTACACCACCAATGAGAAAGCCACAGTGGACCAGCATTTCAAAGAGCTGATCCGTGACCTGGAAAGGCAGAGGGATGAAGTGAAGGCTGCCCTGGACCAGAGGGAAAAGATTGCATCAGAGAATGTGAAAGAAATCGTGGATGAGCTGGAAGAGAGGGCAAAGCTTCTGCGGGAGGACAAGGAGAACAGGGAGCAGATCCACCAGATCAGTGACTCCGTGCTCTTCCTGCAGGTAACTGAGATCACATTTTCCTTTCCTTTTTTCTCCATGAGGACAGGATTTGTCCCAAAGACAAATCCCAAGGTAGTGTAAGATGCATTAATCTTCTCCAGTTCAATGCACACGTATGGCAAGAACCAACCCTGACATTTGAAGCTGTCTCAGCTCTGGTAGGTGAAGAATGAACTTAGGCATGCCAATGCCTGATTTTTTTGTAGATGGCTACAGCTCACAGGCAGAACATTTGTCTGCCCCCTGCATCTTCACTGTTCTCCTTTGTGTTTCGTGCAATTTGGAGCCTAACATTAGCCAGTTCCCTAGGATCTAGCCTCTGTCTCTTATGTTCCTCAGTAACCTTTCCTCCCTTCTTTTTGACAGGAGTTTGGTGCTTTGATGAGGAACTATGTCCCCCCTCCATCTCTCCCAACATACAGTGTGCTGCTTGAAGGGGAGAGCATGAGCCCATCTATGGGACTCCTCAGAGATGACCTCCTAAACGTCTGCATGAGGCACGTGGAGAAGATCTGCAAGGCCGACCTTGGCCGCAACTTCATAGAGAGAAACCACATGGAAAATGGTAGAGTATCTGAGATATCCCCTTCCCTCCCTTGCTGGGCAAAGCCTAGCTCAGAGTCAGAGGAGATGAAGTGTGATAAGTGTGCTCTCACAGAGGAGAAATTAAGAAAGGACCTAAGAGAAACATCACCTGTAGTTGAAACTCATTCTAGAATATCAGAATTATCCTACCAGACCTATGTGGGAACAGAGGCAGTTGAACTGCCAGGGATTTAAAGTATGTCATGCGTAGGGGACCCAGGAGTCCCAACGAGCCCTAGTTCCCCGAGTGGTGTTTTGTGGTATGGCTTAACAGTGTTTGATCGATTCAGCCACATCCCGTGTGGGACTTCAGAGCAACACTTCTCTTGGCGGTCAAGAACAGTGACCCTCTCCTCCTGCAAGAGGCCAACAGGGACACTCTGCCTTGTGCTAGGCTCCAACAAGCCCCTGCAAGCTTAGCATGACAGTTTCTACTTGGAACACTGCACAGATATACTAAGGCAACTCAATGGCTTACTAGGTAAATTGAGAAGACAGTAGCAGAAATGTGTATGTAGCCACCCCAGTACAGCAATTTTGAAATCCTGTCAGTAGCCTATTGGTACAGCTCCGTTAGCACATTTGCTGTGCTGGTATGACATACCATTTTACAACAGCCTCCATCAGCCACTGCTTGCCTGGCTGGAATATGAAATACCCTGCAAGCACCCGTCACTGAAAATCTAATAACAGATTTTCCAAGTAAAAAGGTCTCCATTTTGGTGTTCAGGTTAATCTGAACTAGCATAACTCTCTGATCATACTTCTCTGCATGTTCCACTAGGCAGAGCTTTATTTTCTGCCTGCCCTGTGCTGGGGTGTTCAGGGGACATGCAGTGCCGAATAGTCCCCACACTTCAGTGACGGTTAAGGATGGATGATCTTTCTTATGTGAATAGAGAGGTCATGGTCAATACCACAGCACTGCAAGGAATCTTCTAAGTTTTAGAATGCACTTACTTTCTGTGTTTTCCAATTAGTTCTGCAAAAATGACTTGTCTTGCATTGAGCTCACACATAATTGACCTGCTGGAGAGCAGCTCTGCGGAGAGGGACCTGGGCGTCCTGGTGGACGACAGGTTAACCATGAGCCAGCAGTGTGCCCTGGCTGCCAAGAAAGCCAATGGGATCCTGGGGTGCATCAAGAAGAGTGTGGCCAGCAGGACAGGGGAGGTTCTCCTTCCCCTCTACACTGCCCTGGTGAGGCCTCATCTGGAGTACTGTGTCCAGTTCTGGGCTCCCCAGTTCAAGAAGGATGAAGAGCTACTGGAGAGAGTCCAGCGGAGGGCTACAAGGATGGTGAGGGGACTGGAACATCTCCACTACGAGGAGAGG